CTACCAGGTCGGCATTGTAGAAGGCGAATAGGATTGGGGAGAGCGGGGATCCTTGAGGAAGGCCAGGGTGGTCTAGAGCTGCAGCTGGTTTGGTGTATCCGTCGAACGTTATTGAGGCTGCCATCCGGAGGTATCGCAACCGCACCGGCGGAGCCTAGTTATTTCTCGCAGTAGTAGCCATCCGATCGATTCCCAGCAAATATCCCACATGCCAGCCAAGCTGTCTCATGGCTTAGGCACCAGTAGGGTGGTCGGATGCTACGAGAGCTAACAAGACATTGCTTCTATCGTCGTAGGCGGGGTGGCGGAAAAAAATGCGGTGGCGAGGGTGGAACAGACACGGCGGCGTAGCCGTCGGATGGGAAGGTAGCTGATTGTATCGTCGACGAAGCGTGAGAGGACAACATAACTTATAAAACCAGCGGAGGCTACAGTGCGGTGTCACGGCTCGCTGGGCAAGCAGTGACACGAAACAACAATGCAGCCACCCACGTAGTAGCAGGTCACTCAATTTAAGCAGGATTCGATTCTTCATCAATTTCTCATCAAAACCTGGTCTAGTATCCCTTCGCTTCGAACATAGCCTGTCACCGGTCCCTCATGGAGCGAGCCAACTTCTTCAGACTCAGCTTGTCCAGTCGGTCCCATGCTTTCGGAATCCGCTCGGCCAACTCGGTCTTCACTACTTGAGTTACTGAGAAGTCCTAGCCAGCGCATGATTTCAACAGGCCAACTAAGCTAACTCAACCCTAGGAAAACCTAGAGTACTTTTTGAAAATGCTAAATAGGCTGTCCTTTAACAAGACACTCGAGAAATTCTGGCAGCGCCGTCTTTATATCGCTCACTTCCCCTGTATCATTTAAGGTCTGACGCATATGCATACAAATCGACAGAGTTGTCGCCAGGCTGACCCTTTAGGTGTACCCTGTCTTTATGTCTTCCTGATGTTCCTTTGGATTTGATGGGAAAACCTTAGTTTAGACACGACACTAGACATTATACCGCGCTTACTTACAAATTTTTCATGCTTACCACGAGACTTTTCATAGTTGGAACCTAGTCACGTTCGCCGTCATGGAGCACGGCAGGCCAAGTCAAGTCAGTAATTTAGAACTGCCAGTTCTGGGGGTTGATATGGACGAGTTATGAAAGAAGAGAAAACTTTGCGGAAGCCTAAAAAGAGCTAGGTAGTTTTAAGTGGTGTGCAAAGTGTGTCAGTTGCGCTGTGAATGACAGCTTGCCCGGGATATTCCGGTAGGGTCTCCAAGGTCTTGTTTAGGGCTAACTTGCAAGGGCTACAGTACAACGGTGCCGTCTGGACGTTCACAGATCCTCATTTGCCCACGGCGCAGGGTAGCGTGGCAGTGAAAGCGGCGGTAGCGACCGCTTCGCCGAGGCAGCCCACTCGGGAATGACCCGGCGCCACCCCCACCACCTTGACAACCTCCGAAAAACCACCACGATGCGCACGAATCCCGACGTCTTCCGCACAGTCTAAATGCTTCCTTCGCATGCTTGGATGCATACCCGGCTGCACGCATGAGCCGCCCCTCGATCGCAAGTCTCGCGCACGACATGACGTCACGGCCTCGCTCAGCTCGACCTGCGCGCGTGGCTCGCTCGCACGCATTTTCCTCCTGCCTGGACGGCTGCCTGTCGCTCATTTGAATGCCATCATTCGTTCACCTCAGCGCGCCTGCTGTTGCTCGCGCAAGCGTTTGCCGCTCGCTGCCTGCCATGACAAAGGCAGGAGAATGAGCACCTGCGCCAGCCCAAGCCGAGGGCTTGACGACTGAGTTTACACACGTGGATGGAGGGGAAGATTCTGGTAGCGGTCAAAAAGCTTGGGAATGGATAATGAGGGTGGGAAGAGGATTGCGAGAGGGAACAGTCTTCCGCAAGCCAGTCCGGCAGGCCGCTGGTTTCCCACGGCCGAGGCCCTCGCTGCGAGCCTGCCACGCGGAGGTCTTTTTCTGGCCGCCGGCTGTTCGTGATGTGACCCGACGCCGGGGGTCCAGGTACGCATGCAGAGGCCAATGGACTCGATAAAACAGGCCATGGTTGACTTGGATTGCGGAGGCGCGGGCGATCCTCCGGTCGCACCCCGCAACGCTGCTGTGCGACCGCAACATCAAACACAACAACACAACCACCTCAATCTACGGGACCGCATCCCTCGACACCATGCACCCCGTCCAAGTGCTCTCCTGGCTGCACAGCATTCCCGCTGCCACATTGCCTCCTTCACCCCCCTCGCCGCATGTCAAGCGCCGCCGGCCGTCTCTCTCGAAGCCCCAGCCCAACCCAAAGAGGCCGCGCATCGCTCTGCAGGACCTGGACGTCAACGTTGCCGCGCGCGCAATGGCCGGTCCCGCGACACCAGCAAGGTCCGCGCGCAAGTCGGCGCGGCTGTCGAAGAAAGGCGCCGCTTTGACAGGCACCTCCGCAGGACCTCCGCCCCGAACACCGAACAACCAAAGACCCCGCGCCGCCTTTACCCCCAACGAAGACGAGATACTCGATGAAGACGAGACGCCTCGGCCCCCCCATCCGTTCAGCGACGGCATCGTCTTCACACCGGCCTCAGACCCCTCCACCACATGGAGCCCAAGCCGCGCAGCGTCGGCGTCGGCGTCGGTGTCGGACGCGAGCAGCACCACGTCCCGGGGCCGGCGGCCGCGGAGCCCTGTAAAGACAATGGGAGACCTGCGCATGGTGGGTGAGGGCTTCGAGCTGAAGGATTTGGCGACACACAAAGGCGACCTGGATGCAACTGCCAGGGAAGTGTTGGCGGAGTTGGAGCTGATTGCAGATGGCGAGGAATATGTGCCTCGAGCCATCAAGGACGAGTTTGAGGCCGCTACAGAAATCCTGCCCCTGCGTCCTTATAATCTGGCCGACACTGCCTTGAGCAAGCAGCACCTCCTTGCCGAACTTGACGAAGCGGTGGAGATACAGCAGGAATCGACTAGGTGCTCGCTTGACTCGGTCGCTGAGCCAGACTGGAACGAGTCTGTACATTGTCGCATTTTGCGCCTCGCGCTCAAGCGGAACAAGGCAGTTCAATTCCGCAACATGTTCGTCCCCCAAACTTGCCGCCACTACGCGGCAGAGCTGCACATATTAACGAATCTCAGAACCCGCGCACAAATCCAGCCCCCCACACTCATCCCACGCCTCCTATGTGGCCTCTCCATCGAATCCAAAATGGTAGACTACGCCCTCATCCTCCCGTCCACAGACACCCACATCTCCACCGGCATAGAGAAACTCCTCAAAGCCCAGCCGGTGGAGCATCAAAGCATCAACCAGACGCGCTACCAATCCGTGCGCTTCCAGCCAATTGCCCTGAACATCGAGACCAAAGCTTCCAACCGCACAGAAAGCGAAGCACTCGTTCAGCTGACCGTCTGGACTGCTGCGGGATTCCAGCAACTACAGGTGTTGACGGCGTCGAGAAGACCGAGGTTTATTCCAGTGCCGCTGCTCATGGTTAATGGCAGCGTGTGGTGGCTGCTGTGGGCGACGTGGGATGAAGCGGACAAGATGACGCTGTATAGCAAGGTGCAGATTGGGGATACGAGGGAGCTGAAAGGGATTTATAAACTGCTTGCGAGTATGCGGAGGTTGATAGGGTGGGTGGAGCGGGTGTGGAGGCCTTGGTTTACGCGGGAGGTTTTGGGGGTGTAGTATCTATTTTTGGCAGTGAGTGTTTCATGCCATTGTTGGTAGTAATGCGGAGGAAGCCGCTCCCGACGGAACTGTCTTTCTCGGCAGGCGCGAGCCGTTGACGATACCAACGCATCTCCCCTACTTGATGGCACGTCACACCGCGCACACCTCTTCCACCGGTCAGCTCTGCCCGTGATCTCTTCAGCGTTGCCGCTCTTCCTCTTTACCTCTATGGATCTTTGCATCTGCCTCTTTACTTTTTCGTCTCGTCGCCTCTCCATCTCTTCGCTTCTCCGTCTCTCCGCCTTTGCTCCGCAGCCGGCAAAGCGGCACGTCTCACGACTCGAGGCCGTGGGTGCCAGCGCAGCAGTTCGGAGTCCGTCAGCATGCCACCACCAGGCCTCCCAGTCGCCCGCCCGCCCCCGCCCGGGCCCTTCGGGCGGGCGGG